AGATATAGATACAGAAAATCGAGAGTAATCTTTATTACTATAACGCAAGTTTCTTTTTTTACTTTTAAAAATTATTGTCATTAAATGATTTCTCTCATATAAGGGTTAACATCTCTGTACACAGGCACTACTATATACCAAGTAAATTTCTGTACGTATATTTATTCATGTAGGATAGATGAGAAGGAAATAGAAAGAGACAGAATTTTTCTTCTGTTCAATCCAATGCACCAGGGTGTGCTATCCCTGGTGGTGATTATTTTTGTCAGGATCTGAGTCAGATAAAACGTCTGTTAAAATAGGAAAGAGTCCCACATCTACTGTAGACTATATGCACAGAAGAAGTAAGCGTAGTACATATTAATAATTTTTTTAATGTCTGAAAGATATCGAATTTTAGCATGTCTATATCTTGAATGTTACTGTTCAAATGTTACATTTCTTCCACAAGCAGACATGAAATTTAACTGAGCACCTCAGGGACCAGAATGAATATATATGTAAAGAGGAAGCCCAGAAAAGGGCAAGACACCCGGATGACCAAATTAAGGACAGCCCACTACATATTCCACAGAGAAATGATAATACAACAGAGAGAGAATCAACGGACTATTATCCTGAAATTGAAAACAGCCTGTATCATAACACTCTACCAAATTACAATACTAAACAGAGGGAATTATCACACCGTTATTTCCAGAATTATAGACAACTTATATGAAAAGTCAGAGAAAAGTATAAACACAATAGAGGGATTTTCCCAAAATTCGTACAACCCACCTCAGTTAAGTGAAGAATGTTACGTCGTCCTTCAAAACTTTAAAGGGGAAGATATAAATGAAATAATCAGATCGGTGAATGATAATTTATTTAGGAAGCTGATGCTTGACAGATGGATAAAATTGCAGGAACATGCAACAACGGCGATGCACACGCTGAAGGACCATTTATCATATTATTTGGGAAAATTAAAAAGTCCGTATAGCGTGGATGGAAACATTGAAAGGGAACAGGTGCGGAACAGCAATCATAGTATTAACAGAACCATGAGGATCTTGGAGGAGTATTAGAATAGGCTCTTTTTCGACTACGTCATAGGGGATAAATTGCCGCACTTACATCATGACTCTCTTATAAATGTAAGCGAATGTGCGTTTATCTTATTTATAAATGAGCTAATTACTATGGAGGAGCGTCAGTTAGATAAATGTGTATTGGAGTCAGGGATACTCATGGTGAGAGCCCACAGATAACCGTTGAGAGAAACACGATGAGCGGTAGGTATACATGTATATGCATACATAAGATCCTAACAATAGCAAAAATAAATATACTTGTACCTATATGCTTATATATACAATTATCTGATAAAATCTTCTTTATTGGAAACAGAAGCCAAGTGGATTATACAGCACCGTTTCAGCAATGATCGGTGCCAAAGTGGCATCGTGACTGTATTTTTTGCCATGGAAAAGTATTTAAATATTGGAA